ACATAGGTAGGTAGTCGTATAGTATTACATACACCAGATCAGTTACATAATGTAAGTACGGACGTACGGAATATTATTAGTAGATATTATGTAGCACCGGTGAGATCGGTCTGTCCACTGTCCAGAGGGTCGGGACACGAACCTGTTGCTCCCGAAGTCTAGAATGGCCGCAGCCGTACGGACGTTAGGTACCTCCCTCTGTATTCCGTACCTACCAGTTGCTACCTTAGGTACCTACAGTGGTTGTATTGTACCTACTAGGTAGGTACGTAGGTAGTTGGCAGTGTGCAACTACAGGGTGTTGCTGCTGATCAACTACCGGTAGGAAACCCCCCCCCGCCCCCCCCCTCCCCAATCCACCCGTTCGGTCGACACCACCAAGACTGACCACCACTACCTACCTATTCTAGCGTAGGCACCACCATCACTACTGGCTTCCGCTTCCGCTCCCCCACCAACTGCACCATGCTGTAATCGTAATCTGCAGCCTTATTGTCTTGGATCTTTTTTTGTTCGATTTTTTGGAGGTATTTATTTATTTTTATTTTTTATTTTTTTATTTTTGTTTTTGTTTATTTATTCTTTGTTTATTCTACTTTTATTTTATTTTTTATTTTTATTTATTTTATTTTTTATCTTTTTTACCGGTTCTTTTGTCTGTACCTGCTTGTTTCGGCTTTTGCTACGTCATCAACCTTATTAAAAATCATAAAATATAAATAATAAATATAAATAAATAAATAAAAAGTAAAGAGATCAGAAGGTTCAATTACAACCTTAATAATCATCCACGATAACCACTCACGGAGCTCCGCGGGAACACGCTGCAAACCTTACCTTACCTTTTACCTTAGGTAGCAAATGAATCCTCCCCACTACCATTTCCATGTCTTACTCACCAACCACTCTCAATACGTTCTAGCAGCAGCCAATTTTTGAATCCGATTTCTTCATTAGCATATAATCCACGCTCGATTACACAGTCACGCGTACTCGTACATTTCTTTTTCTTCTTCTGCTACTTCCTCCCTCTCCATCGTGTCATTGTCTGAGATTATCAAAAATCTGCAAATATACACTAGACCGCTGGTGCCGGAAATGCTGGTCGTCTTTCCATTGGTTGACTTGGACTGACTTTACTGGTCCTTGTTCCCTTTTCCTTTCAGATTTCAGAGAAGACTCTCTCTCTCTCTCTTCTGGCCGTGTTTGGCCTATAGTGGCGTGGCGCATTTGGGGACAATGGATGACACCACGAGACTTGCTTCGGAGCTCATAGCCATGCTCAAGGAGCTCAATCATAAGGTCTGTGATTATCGCCGCGGCTTGGCTCAAGAGTTCCACCGGCATTCGCATCATCTGTTACAAGATGTGCCTGCGGATATCTCAACTCGCGTTGAAGAGCTGATTGCAGAGGAGCTCCACAACTACCCAGCGTTGGGTCCTGTGTTTGCGCTTGACACTGGTCTTGCAGATCTTGGTGACTTTGCACCCAACCGATGGAGTCCAAGTGGGAGGGTCTCGCCAACCCCGGCTCTTCCTCACACCGCAGCTGATCCCAGTTCACCTACCGAGCGTGGCCGTGACAGTGAGCTCCATGGTCTGTTCACGCCGAGTTACCTCCCTCTACTCGAGGTCATGCAGTCGGACATAACCACAACCTCCTCCATTGCTGTCTCGTCGCCAGCCCCACCTCAGGATACAGATTCTAACGACGATCAGGCTAACGACGATCAGGCTACTGACGATCAGACTAACGACGATCAGGAGCCTCTGCCTCCTGTCAAGCCAAGAAATATTCCACTGCAGCTGAATACCGTCATTTTTCCCTCAGAACTCACATCTCCAGCCACAGCTTCTCCTGAAGATAATCAATTGCACAGACGCAGAAGTGCATTGCGTCGATCCTCAAGTACCTCTACAAGAGATTTTATGAGTCCTCGGCGAGTTCGTTTTGATGTCGCAGGCGAGGAAGTTTTACCAACAGTCTCCCCTCCGACACCAGCTCAAGTCCATCCACTTCCTATATCCCCACCACCAGAGTTCGAAACCATGCCCATCCACCAACCTTTGAACCGTATAATTCTTGAGGAGGAAACCTCCATATTAGGCGATTCTCCGCCGCGACCCAAAAAGATATCATCAACTGAGAAGCTAAGGGCATTGGCCAGAAGCTCGACAGAGGATGTATCTAAATGGACTGTTGTTGGCAATCTACAAGATGATGATGACGATGAGGAGGAGGGACTTATTATGTTTAGACCGAAAGGCAAATCGAAAACCCCCGCCGCGGAAGTGGCCGCCACCATTTTGAAGAACGGTATTGGATCTCACTCCGCACAGGTTCCTCAGTCGACAGATCAATCAGAAGACACAGACAATGGTCAGACTATTGACAAGAACGAAGCGGCACACAATTTATTCGGGCCACCCCTTACCTTCAACAATGAAAAGAGGCTTTTCTCTCATGAAGCCATGGCTGATATAAATCCTAAAGAGGGTCAGCCGCGACATATGCATTCTGGCAAAGCCAAGTCATCCGACTACGCTATTATGCCACAATCTCACGAGACTTCGAATTTTGAAGAAGACATGTTTGGATTTGATGAAGAATGGGGTTCTCCACCCCAGGCAGCAGAGATGGCTCCTAAATATATTCAGGGTGAGCTCGAAATTGAGGAGGAAACGACGCCTTTTGCGGATGACCCGGCTGAGGGGTCATCTGGTGGTCTCTCCAAACCGCTCGGTATTACCATTGCCAGGCCTGCAATCCCGCCCCCTGCATCGCCTGCCCCATCGTTTTCTAAACCGCTAGGCGCGTCCGGTTCATATAAAGGAAAGCCTTTTGTAATAGGGGTCGTCCGTGACGAGGAGCTGTACAAGAAGGCAGCCGAGATGGGCAATATTGGCATGTTTGTAGGAAGTGTTGACGGTCGAAGCGGTGTGGACCCGTCTGACAATTACCACTTTGGTGGCTCGCCGAAGAGTGTAGGCAAGCGCTTGCTGGAAGAAGCACAGTTGCGTCGCAATAAAAAGAACACGGACAAGCCCGAGAAGTAAAGTGCGTCTGCAACGTCTTTGTTGGCTAATGCACTTGAGCAGTCGGAGCAATTCGTCCCTCTATAACTAGGATACGCATCTAACACCCGGACCTACTCATCTATGATCGCACCGCGTCATTATACATAGACCAAGCTCCGCACATTTAGTTGGTCGAGATACTATGGGCTTTCGACTTAGTCATATGTAGTCGTTGTGAGCAAGATCTCGCACCAATGCGAGCGAGAACTGAGAGATATGCCAGCAGGCTGCAAGCGGAGGAATAATGGGGGAGCGCCTATCTCGACGCAGGTAACAATGTTTCAACTGTTCAGGGGTCAAACGCGTCGGGCCCAATTAGCAGTATCTCCATTCGGAGTCGGAATTATATCCGGACTCTGATGGCAAAGCAACCTACCTACATGGTTTGATACCTAGCGGTTGGTATCAGCCATGGCTTGCCCCCCTTGTGTGCGTGTGCGTGTGTGTGCATAGATAATTGCGACCCCATTCATTACGGTTGTATCATATCCATTAGTACAAGTTTGATATTGGTAGCACATATAAGCCTACAAATTATATCGCAGTCTGGGCTATGACTCCTGCTCAAGTAGGTGTTATCATTCAGTACGGATCCGTACCTACTCTATAAATCACAGCCAAAGAATCAGCTTCACATTCATGCTTCTCGATTACTGGAACCTTCCTAGCATCATCAACACGAGGGATATGCTAGGGATGGCATTCAAATTGGGATGACACCTGTACTCCTAGTCCTGCTCATCTCGGTAGGGGGCCACTACAAAGCGTATAATATGGGACAGCCAGCTACCTTACTTATGTTTTATCGTGAGAGGAATTGCGTGTCTGTTCATTGTCTCTGAAGAGCTTCGAAGTCACTATAAAGCTATACGCTGAATATATAAAGTCAATGATGGCGTTGTCGAACTCATCGTTTTCTCCAATCAGTAATAAACATACCAACCCTTATTCATCCGCAATTTCACTAGATTGACTGCATGTGAATCATGACATCTCAAGAAGACTCCTCGCCCCCCTCCCCCCCCCCTTCTGAAAGTTGAAGGTGTGACTTGAATGGCTTGGTGACATTAACAACGAAAGACTAAGAAATGTCCTACCGATGACGGATAGATAATGCCTCAGCTGGATCACCACTTGTACGAGAGCTACCGATTCGACAACTCTTGCCACCGCAGCTGAACGGGGAAACGCCTCAGATGTTTGTTGGCCAATCTAGGTAGCTGCATATGTATGTGAACAACAGGCAAACTGTCAGGCATAGCTTGGCAGGTCCCAACGATGCGTCACTGGTGCGGAAAAACAGCCAGGTGACTCCACCGTCACGATGGTGGGGGTCGCTGGCTGATACATATAATACTCGATGATACCCAAGCTGGCTTGCCGGGTACATAACGTTGGGATCCCTCTTTGGTATGAAGGTGTTGGGGAGGAATAGCCTGGGAACATCTAAGACACCGATGTTGTCGCCGTAACTCAACATATACCGAGCACATGTCAACCTTCAACAAGCTTTCCGTCATGGATGTTGGATTGTTGTGACCTTCAACTGACATTCCTGCTTACGACCATCCTCCATCTGACAGGTATGGACGATTAATCTGCTCATCAGCCTGAGTCTCGACTGTCCTCTTGCTGTACCTAGACACCGCGCACACGCACCGGGAAGGCTAATACCTATCTATGTCCCCCAGGATGATCCGCGCCATCACTATACAGAATACCAATTGGATCGGAGATACAACGGTAAACATCAGGTTAAGATAATCACATAAATGCCCCTATCTCTATATCTACATTACCTACCTATATCTATGTACCTTTTTATCATCAAGACCAATGCTGACGATTCACGTTCTCTCAAACGGAACTATCCCACAATGCCCGGGTAATAGACCGTGGCCCACCAGCGACTCCCCATCACCGGTCCCATAGCTCAGTTGGTTAGAGCGTCGTACTAATATTATGGGCTTCTGCGCTATAATGTCGGTAAATGCGAAGGCCGTGAGTTCAAGCCTCACTGGGACCAAGTCCAAATCTTTTTGTTTTTTATTGATTTTATGTTTTTGTTTTTTTTCCTTTTATTGAAAGAAGTTTTACTTTGCGTTTATGCTGTTATTGGGAAGAGGTTTGATGGATGGTTTCTTTTGAGCGTTTCTTTTTTTTTTTTTGGAGAATGCTCGTTATTTTTTACACTTTGTTTTTACTATTATTTTCATGAGTATGGTATTATCAAAATTGAATGCGCAACACAACAGAAGAGGCGGAGGAGGATTTCAACCGTCGCGCGCGCGATTTGCGGATGTGATTAGGTAGGTAGATATCAAATCTGCGGCATATCCATCGATCAAGCGCGTGTGCCCGAGCCATAGAAGATAGTTCTAGGAATCTATCTAGTAATATGGTTTGCGCCGCGTGGTCTTAGGTACCTAGACCTGACAAAGCAACTTCATCCTCCGGCATTAAAACACGATCTGAAAACGGCTCACGGACCGGGTCCGCGTCGCAAGACCGTCAAATCCTCGGCGCCACAGGAATGCCGATGCCCATTAAGCCGTAGGATCGCAGACGCTTGAAAAGACCAACGTGTCAAAGAAATAATCATCGAAATCCTTGAGATTCGCGATTGGTCGATATAAAACCAGCCTTTGCCGAGAAACGCCAACCAATCGCTCCAAATGGCGAAACGGCGTAGGTAGCATTAGCCGCGCGAAGGTCCCAATATCCCGCTGACCTTACCTATTGGTTGGTGAGGCACCCTTTTAGCCCTTTGCATGTGCCGCGAATCCGATGACGAGTTATGCGCAACGCAATTGCGACCCGAATGGGCGGGCAAGTGTTCCCTTGCGCTGAGTCAGATTGTTGACACTTCTCATGCATGAGGGCTGTTGAAAGGTTGATGAGCACGTTGATAATGTCAACGCTGTCAGATCGAGCTTCTTCTGTTGAGAGAAATGTCGTCTGATCCAGGCATGTTGCGTGCGCTTGCATACTCAATGAGTACAGAATGTGGCCCTTAAGGCGGTTTGTGATCGCTCATGGCCAGGAATATCCCGTTGCAGGGTCAGGATAAGGGGGCACTTGGGTAGTAGGCAGCAGTACCTTCAACTCATCTGCCGGCGCATACTGCTTTAGAACCAGAAATCGCTCATCAGCAAAATTTTCTTCCTGGAGAATTCACGTGAACGCTCCAGGGGTTCGCTGGGTTCCCGACACACGAGCCTGGCTAGAAAGATCATGAGAGTTTGTTTGTTCATGGCTGGCACAGAGGAGAAACACAGTACTTCACCTACGAATCAGTGCTCTCACCCCTATGATAGATAAGTACCTACCCCCTTAGAGGTAGTCTGTGGCTTTAACAGGGTGTGATACTTCGAATACAACTCAACGCTTACAGCTCGCCATTGACTACATCCTCCTCGGGGCAAACGTCCGGGTCGAGTGGATGTTTTCCCCGTAGGCGCTATTGCCTTTGTTGTGTAAAGGGGCGGAGCGTTACCCCGATGAGGTCGGCTTGCCTTAGCCAATACATTGGAACATGTCATCCTCGGCTGTTGGACTGTTAAAGGGGGTTAGACTTGATATCCCAGGGGCAAGCCTTCCGGCATCACTGCATCAGCAGCCACATTAACGCCAGTTAGCCGTGAGCCTGTCATTCCGGACTTGTCTTAGGTAGGTACGGGTAGATTAAAGAATCAAGATGTATCTCTACTTCTTTAAGGATGTTTTAAATTTTTTTTTTTGGCGGCAAATGCTTAGACCCGAGAAGGATTGTGGCCTTATCCGAGAGTCATAGGATTCATGTACGTCCGTGCAAATGTTGTCTCTCCCATGGCCCGCCTTCGCTCAAGGACTGGCTTGCCTTCGTGACTTTCCACCAGACATAGTTACTACCTGTTCGCCTTGCCGTAGTGTGGTGCAACTAGACTCGGCTTTGTCACACCGAGTCTGTTCGAGTTCTGCATGTAATGTCAGGGTGGCCCTGTCTTTCACAGATCATGGGCCGAATAGTGGATTGTACCAAGACTGACTCTTGGTATTGAGTCTTTGGAGTCAAGTAAGACTGTCTGCCGATGTTTTCACCACGTCGACCACAAGCTAGGTATGCAATGACAATTGGGACGAAAACAAAAGGGGGACAAGACAATTAATCTGCTGAAATCAAGATGATCGGATGGGTAGTACGAGTTGTGCTTCTGGAACCAGAGTATCTCTATCGGTAATAATGCAAGTAGCCTTTAATAGTTGGTGGGTGGTGTTCTTCTGTTTATCGTACAGACTGTACTATTGAAAGCTGTTGCAGAGGCTGAACCATTTCTTCTGCCACACACCCGGCGATCTCTAGCGCGTTTGTTTCAGCACCCCCCGGCAGCCCAACTGGTAGGTGAGATGCTACGTAGCAGTATCACTTGAGGCATGGTCTTTATTACTGTTTATGTATTACCTACCTAGACAGATCTACCTAAATCAACGCAACAGTCCGGTTATTATAACTTGTTTGTGAGCCCCAAGGAGGAGATCTCAAGACAGTTTGCACGTAGCACCGCAGCCCTGACACTGTCACTATGGATGTTCATAGGTGATCACTATTAATACCTCGACGTCTCATCGTATGACAATGTGCATTTGTTGATGTTGGCTTGCTTGGTCTAACGGACCGGTGCTTCGATTTGAGTCGTGGGTTGATACGGGCTTGGTGGTCGTTGAGAGACATGACTAGCGTGTTGATTGGTTTCCGGGATTCCCCCTGCCCGGCCGGCAAGATGTTCGGCCAGGTAATTATGCAGTAGTTAGTGTAGGTATGTACCTAGTGTGGACAGTATGGAGCTGGAATGCTAACTTAAGTGATCTACCCGGGCTACGTGTTGTCAACCTGTTTGATCTGCGATATCTAAGGCTCATCGCAGGAGCTTGACTAGGTTTACATAATGGTAAGGCCGTTCTAGAATTCCGTGGTGTAAATTGACAGCTTAGCAAGTCATGCTATTCAGAATTTAGCCTTCTTACCAAGGTCGATTTAAATGGCTAAATAACTAGCTAGAAGAAGGATAAGATGGTTAATTAACCCAGGAGAGGTTTGTTCGGAACGACGTGCCTAAGCTCTGAGCATCCATCAAACTAACTAGTTAGCACGCGCGCTAGTTGTCGAGCTTGTCCCGAGTTGACCGTTGCAACCTTTTTTTGGAAGTTGTCAAGTCCCCAAACCGGCTGAAAACAGAGTTAAGAAAGAAACTCTTAACGTACGTAGCAACTACCTAGGTAGGTACACTACCCTACCTACCTACTTACCTACCTACCTATTTACTGTAGCGCTCGGAATCCCTACCTACTCAGGCACAACACCTGAGCGGTGCGCACACGACCTGTTCCCTACTTAACTACATACTCCGAGTCGCATGGATTCTCATTAGCCGCATGCCTCCCTATGTGCGTTGGTGTTGCCGTGCATACGCTACAACATAGCTGTCTATTCCGTACTCCCTAGAAATTCGGCAACTCGATTCAACATCGCGATTCGCTGAGCAGAAAAGACTCTACATGACAGGGTTTAAAAGCAAATGCCGTCCTTCTCGGTTGAAAAAAAAAAAAAAAACCCCCGATACTCGCCAAGCAAATCTGGAAAGCGATCCCTTTCCCATTTCTACCTTTGCTTTTCTTTTCTTCGTTTCGAGGTTTCACCGAGCGCGGGCCTGCCGCATGACGCGGTAATGCTGTCTCTCTGCTGCAGCATAACACATACAAAGTACGGATCCGGACGAAGTACAAGTAATATTATCAGCAGTGATGATCAACAGCAGGCAAGCTAGACATGTACTTATACCTACTTATGTATGTGCATGTACCTTATGCGGGCCAACCAGTGTTCATACCATAGCGACGGGGACTGTGACTAAGCCGAGACAACTTAAGTGTGTACATTACAGTTCAGGCTAAGTACGGGTACCTTTTTTCGACGATAGTCAGTTAACCTACCTTGACATGGTGTTGACAGCACACGAGGTGAGATGCGCCACACTACGGTACCTACCTACTTACACCACACAATTTTCAGCACACATCCCTCAACGAGGACGACGACGCCGCTTGCAAATCACTGCCCGTTACTGTACCTACTATGCAAGCCGACTATAGAACGTTAGTAAGAGATCATATACATATTTTCCCGGCTAGTTGCATTAACTTAGTTAAACTTACGCAGTAGGTAATATCTTCCGTCAATCTGAGTAGGTAGGTATGTATGTATGTACGTCCGTACGTATATATATATATGTATGTGTAGGTATGTAGGTATGCTTAATGTACAAGTACCTACCTTGTCCATAGTGTAGATAGGTATCAATGCCTCGGGACTTTGAATTTCACCCTAGGTCTTGACTAGAGTCAGATCGGTACGGATCCGTACGGTATTACTATATAACTTCACTGCTCCAAGACAACCTAAAAACTCCGTTACAGTCTAATACCAACAAGGGCCGGGGCCAAATGACAAGCTGTCGACTGACGAGTAGTGTAGAATGTGTAGGTACCTAGTGTGCATTGCGTGTTTATCAATTATCTGGTGATAGAAGTGCAGACAACCATCTTTCTTCAATTGTATGGGGCTAGTAGGTAATCGAGTTGTCGTGTACCTACCTACCTACCTAACTAGTGTGCCTAGTCCTCGAACTGCCAAGGAGATAAGTCTTCTAACGACTTTCCTGATTTACCGGCTCCTACTTATGTTAACTAAGTTCCTACCGGTACGGATCCGTATTGCTAACACCAATCTTTTGACTACCTACGCTAGTGAGCCTACCGGTATTCCGTTCTTGACCTTGCATATGTCAGGAGAGGAGACAGACGGACAGACGGACAGACGGACGGACGGACGGACAGACAGACCGGACAGACAGACAAGCCAAGCCAAGGCTTATTATGCGGAGCGGAGGAAAAGGGAAAGGGGCAAAATGTTGCATTATCTTTTCACCTAAGCTCACCTGCCTAGTGCAGGCGAGTAGTAGTTCGACGGCACTAAAAAAAGTTGCATAG